TGTTTTCAGTTAGTTCTTTTAATTAGGGCTGCCCTTCTTTCAGCATGGGCTTTACTCTTATGCAGCAACTTAATTAATTAAAATTAATTAATTAAAAAGATATGGTTTGTATTAAGGCCACAGAGGACAGTTTTTAATCTGAATCTTCAAAGATTTGAAGATTTGCTTTGATCTGAGCAATCTATCTCTTTCTTCTCCTTTATATTCAATTCAGTGTTCATCCACTGCCTCATTCAGGTACTGAAACACCTACTGTTCTTGTTTACTTTGGGCTGTAATCTCTGTACCTCTGTGGGGTTTTTTTCCCCATCCAGCCAGGAAACAAAAGATAGGGTGTGCTTTTAAAGACAGGAAAGTAGCTTTAAATATCCTGATGGAAGGGCTGTGTGATTTATTTATTTTTTTAAAAGGTATCATTTTCTTGAAGACTTTCCAAATTTGTGCCTTTGTGAAACATTTATTTTACAGTCCCTTTCTGAGTCTAGAAGTGAAGCTGCTTCTAACAACATAAGCAGGACTTCCTTTTCTCCTCTCATCCCCCTGCCTTCCTGGGGACTTAAAAAGAGCATTTTTCCTGTAGAATAAATAACTTCACCAAAATAGATATATAAACCCACAGTAGAACTCAGTCTGTTTATATCTGAAACCCAACTGTTATTTTGCAGCTGGTCTCTGTAGTTTATGCTGAACCTCACAGAAAGTTGACAGCTTCTCTGAGATCTTTGTTTTACATGTTAGTTCCTTTAAAATGAGAAACCAACCTTCATCCTGACCTTTCTTAATGCTAGGTTCTATAAGCAATAGGTGCAGGAGGGCTCAATACTTTGTGAGTACTTAAAATGTGTTCACTGTGTACACTTTGCTAATTGGAAGTTGCACCAGAGGCAGGAGCTGGTGTCAGGGCTGGATGCAGCTCTAGCAGCCATCAAGGCAAGTAGAGGAAGGTGATGAAGCAGAGGAAGGTGACCAGTGTGACTGTGTGCTAAAATAATTCAGATAAAGGAAAAGCTCCACATAATTATCATTATTCTTGCTCTGTGCAAAGCTGTGCTTTTTTGCAGTTTTGAGGTGGAGGCAGAGAGAAAGAGACAAGATTTGCAAATTAATCTGTGCGGGACCTTTTGTGGGTGAGTTCAGGACAGGGCTAGCATCTTCATTTTGTAACAGACTGTAGTTTCTAAGCTGGAGGTCATAGTCATAAAAGGTTCATGATCCTAGAGGTGATGTTATGTGCCTAGAAGCATGAATAAGAAATGTATTTACAGAGCTCCAAAATTTTTTGGAAGCAGCCCCCTCTTTCTTTTTGCCAGAGCTACTTTTAGGCTCCTGACCACAAGAAAGCAAAGTGTGGAGACAACTGGAAAATTATGTTGCCGTTCCAGTTCAGGTGGTGGTGTCAGAATATACAAGACCTAACAAGATCAGAGTAGTTTTGCCCTTTAATTTGAACAGATGCAAGTTGAAGTTACTAGTAGATCTACATCATCACTCTGGTTCAACCCTGAGTCATGGGATTATTTCATTCTGCTATACTCATTTTTGATGAACCACTTTGCTCCCTTTTTTTTTTTTTCTTTCTTTGTGAGGGTGGGTTAAACAAATGTTAATTCCTCAGTGAAATATTTCTCCCCTGTTGAAACTTGAATGGGATATTACAGAGTGCAGGATCAGAAACCACCCTTCACACAATAGCTGTGCCAGAAATGGCTCACCAGGAAAGCAGATTGCCAAGGGGTGGGTAACGTGAATGAAAGGGACAAGGGGGGGCTTTCCAAGGGGTACTTCTATTTTGATGTTTCTTGTCATGTGATATTAATGTAATATTTTTTTTTGCACTGAATCAAGTTGGATGTCACATATTTCTTTAATCCAAGTCGTTAAATTCCCAGCTCTTGCTCAAGCACGTTGTCATTTCTGCTTTTCATTAAGGTTGTTTGACTCTTTCATGCCATGGAAAAAGAGGTTATTCACATGACAGCTTTCCTGGATGTGAGGAGCAGATGGGACTGTATCTACCAGACTGCTAAAGCAAGTCCAGGACCAGGTCATGACCCTGGATTTTTACAGGAACCCAGAAGTTCAGGTGCCTACAAGGCCAAATGGGTAGGAGTGCAGAAGCACAGCACCCACCTCACCCCACTGAAGAGAAGGCCCAGGGCATTTGCAAAGTGTGAGTCATCTGTGCAGCTCCAGAGTGCAGCTGCTACAGCATCATAGGAAAGCACTAAACTGAAGCTTGAAAACAAAGGGAAGGGACAAACTCGCTGTAGAAAGAAACTGTAAGTTAGTTGAAGGGTGCCAAGAGGACTTCAATAGAGCCTTCTAAGATTTTCTTGTAACTTCTACCATTAATGAAAAGAAGCATTTTTCCCAGGATAGGGAACAAGATGCAGGTGTAGTCAAAGTAGGCTTGACCATGGTTGCTAATGCAAATGGAGAATGGATTTTTTTTTTTCCAAGGCACTATATTTAAACCAGAGTTTAAAGTATGAATAAAAGGACCATTGCTGCCCAGCGCTGATCTTCCCTTTGCGTTTTACCTGCATTTAAATCTATTTTGCTTTCTCTCCAAGAAATTCAATTCTCCCCGAAGTAGATTATGTAGTTACAGGAATAAGACTGCACTACTCATGGAAAAATCTGCATACCTTTGTGCTTACATTCCCCTCCTTTTGCGTCTGGGCTGAGCCCCTGACAACTGAAAATATTTAAAGAAGAAAAACTAAACCCTAATGAATGTGAAAGGCATCTGCACAAAAACACAAGCCTTCTTTCTTCTGTCTCAGCTGAAATACATTTAAAGGCTTGTATAAGCTATAAAAGTAAACAGCTACTCATTCCCTCTATGCTGTTGTGAACCAGTTTTGAAGGTCCTTGATACTGCTTTTGTGTTCTTATTCTTTACCTCGTAAAGATCCCTAAGTAAAATTTCTGTCTGTGTCTAAGCTCAGCAGCTACGTGGTCACATCTCTCTGTATCATTTTTCCTGTGAACTTTCCATTCCTTCTCCTTTACCTGGAAAAAAATCAAGCATTCTTTTAATGGCCAGAAGCCTGCAGCAGGAGGGCCATACCACAGCTCATCTGGGCCTGTGGATGCAATAGGTGAAATGCTATCAGTCTTCTGGAATGGCACTGAGTATCTTTAAAGTCATTTTCCTATAACAGAAACTTAGTTTAAGAGCAGGAAAAGCATTGGTCTCGTTCATGACTTCTCAAGACCTGTTTTTGCCACGTAAACTCAATTGGCTGTAAGCTGTGGACCCAGCTTGGCTTCGAAGTGTGCCTGGCTCCTCATTCACAAACTAAATGCTCTAGAGAGCTGCCAAACTGGGGAGATTATTTTGTCTCATTCTCTGGCAAGCTGTGACTACGTGTACCACTTCATTTATATGCTAATTGAGGCCAAGCCTCCAAATAGGCTCCCTACAATATCAGTGTGACTTGGCTCTGGCTGTATGGTTATTCTGCCTTCAGCAGCCTCAGTCTGTGTGTGCTCTGAGCTGGACAGGGTTTAATATGTCTTCATCAGTGAAGTCCTGGGTGCTGAGCCCAGCTTTTGGAGAGTGACAACTAAACTTGAGGAGTCATTCACACTGAGGATTACCACGTCTCTCTGAAGGTGAGCTCATGCCGTTTCTTGACCGGGACTCTACACTTTCCAGGTCTGAGGAGATGTTGATGTTTCTTAGGTCAGCTGGTGTAATAAGAGGTTGCAGAGGGCACAGCTAATTATGGGGACAGTGTGTTGACAAGCCAGCTAAGCTGAACAGCCGGTTTTGTTGCCTCCTCCTGAGCATTGCAAAAGCTCGCTCTCTCCCAGACTGCCCATTTTAGAAGCATAGTGAGCATCATGCTCTGTCAGCCATTCCTTCAGGAGCACAGTGTTGTAACAGAAAGAGCAAATACAAATGGGTGCATTCAAGGCTACCTTAAAAATATGTTAAGGGTTCCATTTGACTGTTTTGGGTGTTATGAATCCCAAAAGTCAAGCATGTACTATTCAGTAAGTGGATATATGGCTCATGCTGAATATTACAGGATGTTTCACTGAGGGTCTCTGAACATAGGTTGGGAAATGTTCATACTTTTGCAGAGAGGAATAGTAGTACCTCATTCTTTAAGGCAGAAATGTACTTTGCCATTAAACCCAGAGATCAGGGGTTCACACCAAATTCTGAAATTTCTATGTGATATTATTTCCACACTTTTTTAAACTTTCTTTTAGAAACATATCCAGGTGTGTTTTTAGAATCTCATTAAAAGAGAATGGAGTGCTTGAAAGGCAGAAAATTCCCAGCTGTCAGTCACCTGTGTGATTCCTCTGTGGGTCTACTCTGCAGCACATGACATTTTGGACAACAGCAGAATGGGAACATGGAGTTGCAACATGTCTAACTTTTAAAAACTGAGAGCCTGGGCTGCATTTCCAAGTCCTAGTCCAAGTGTCCAAAATGGGGCTACTAGCCATAGCCTACTGGAGAGAGCAAACAGCCAAGGAGAGGCTACTGATAAGAATAAAAATGTGCCAAAAATTCCCATAGTCTCCCAAGTTGATTACATGCTCACTACTTTGAAATAAGAGATTATTTGAAATAAAGATTCATGGCTTGGGCTCAGGCGCTTGCATTGTCACTTTATATATTGGGGGATTTGCTGTTCTCTTTGGAGTTGTGTCAGTGCCCATCTCTCATCCAGGAAGCAGGAGAATCAGTTCAGCATGAGCTTCTTCCCCTTCCTGAGGCAGCTCAAACTTACAGCCCCTGTGCAGGATAATTGGCTTTTCCAGTTAAAGAATTGACACAGAGAGGATCTTCACCTCACCTGTGGATGTGAAGTCATGATTTCACCTGAAAAGAAAGACTCATCAAGCCACAAAGCAAAAAGCTAGAGGTAGCATGACTGCTCTGCCTAGTGATGAGGCAATTTCCTGGGCTGGAGCAGTTATGGGATCAGGTACTTCCCAGAAGTATCTAAGTGTTTTTACAATCTGCTTGTCATTCATCAGGTAAAACTTCCATGGAATTTCCAAAGCCTGCCCATGCATTCACTTTTATTTGTTCCTATGAACAGCTTGTGCCTGTTTGCAGTAGTGTGTTGCCTCCGGGTTATGACCTGTTGGTTGACAAAAACTGGTGCCAGGTGAGGCTCCTGCCAGGGCATGACTGCCAGGCTGAAGAGTTCCAAGGAGGTGGCTCATTTATTTCCATGACACTGTGCTCCTTTGTGTGCTCCGCCGAGCAAGTCATGGCAAGCGGCATTGAAGCAAGTCTCTGTTTAAAGTGGAAAAGCTCCAAAGCTGATAAATTTCCTCTGTCAAATGGGTCAGAGAAAGGACATCCCTGCTCTAGGCCAGGCGGGTGTCATTAGGTAAACGAGGGTTGTTCCTCAGCCTTGGAAGTGGCCCAAGATGGAGCTGAGCACTTGGAAGCTGTGCTAAAGGGGATGATTGGAAAGGGCAGGATCAGGGTGGAGGATCTGCAGCACCGCAGGGAGAAGAGCTTGTTGCTGCACTCAGAGCACCATCCTGTGCTTTGCAAAGCTCTGCAAGGGGCAGCAGCCTTTGCTCTGTCAGGTGTCAGCTTTTCCCCAGGCAACAAAGGCAGTAAAGAATCTGGACAAGCTGGGGAGAGCCAGGTTGGCACAATTTGGCTCCTAGGAGACTCGTGTCTGAAGAACCTTCCAAAAGTCTGGAAATACCCTAATAAACAGTGGGAATCCTAAAGGTTTCTACCCCAACCCCACAGCGACCAGTGCTGCAGTTTTGTAGTTGCTGCAGCACAACATTTGCTCCTCAGCAGCACTGGAAGTTTGAAATTGGTTTATTCAATGCTGGAGTGAAAAGAGAACTGTTGTAATGTTCTTTTTTTTTTTTTTACATATATATTTTTCATGTTAACTCAGTTGCACTAATGTTTGCTTTTGGATGTTAATGGGATGTTTTCATTCATGAATGTTTGTTGTTGAATGTGGTATCAGGAACTGACCTGATGCAGGGTCCCACTTAAAAGTTCTGCCTAAGCTGGACCAGAGATTTTTACTCCAGACCCACTGAGATGAACAAAGCAGGAACTTGAACGTGGGTGTCCCAATGTCAAGAGCTTTCCAGAGAATGAAGCCAGCTTCTACTCATTGCCATAAATGCCAGTTTTGACTGAAAGGTAAAAATTTCTTTATTCTGGCTATGCTACATCTTACCACATTAAGGCTAGCTGACAATACAGGTTAATTTTGAAATGTGTAGAGTTGTGTTTCACAAAGTAACAAATCTACAGTTAAGGCAAAATCCAGATCTTTCAGCAAAGAGAACACTATTGGCATATTTAACTGGAAAACAGATTTAACTGGGGATAGAAAAATGATTTATAGAGCAAGAGGTAGAGTGGAACAGGCCAATGCAGGGTTTCATTACTGTAGGAATGTAGAGGAAGGTGGTCTGCAGCTCAAGAAGTTTCCTGGGAAGAGATCTGTGTGTCTGAGCAAACTTGCTGTCCGTGGTTAGCGTCCTGCTGAGTCGTTCTGAGGGACATAAACACAGTGGCCTGCCTGGGTACTAAAAATGTGCATCTTGTGATGCTGGCAGCTGCTGAAGGTAGTGGGTGTAACAACCACCCTTCACTTAAATCAACTGCAGAGTGCAATTAGGCTTTAGGGAACAGATAGCTAAAACAATAGGAGCCACCACCCCAAAAATGAGGGTATGCACAAAGCTGTTTAAGAATGTGTTGTGTAGGTGGAGGGTTTGATAACAGGCTGAATTAACATGCAGGTGACTGAATACTGTTCATGTGGAAGAGAAACCAGAAAGACATCAGGACAGCATGAAGAGAAGGCATAAAGAAAGTCACAGCTAAATAAATACTTTCTCTCTGACTGAGTAAAAGCTGAGTTTTTGGAAGTCAGGCACCTGGAGATTCAAGCAAGCAAGGTGCTATCTCTTCTGAAGTTCTCACTGATATGTGAGAACTTGTGTTTAAGGAGTTGCTCTGAAATCAGAAGGCTTTGTATCAGAAAAATGCAGTACCAGATTCCAACATTTGTCCAACTGCTGCAGACAAATTATGCAAAAGTATTGACCAGTTAGGACGTGGCAGTGCTCTGATGGATCTCCTCATTGTTGCAGTGGCAAAGAAGCAGGTATCTCAGCTTTTATCTCCAGTTAAGCAAGTGAACCCTTTATTTGGAATGCAACTCCAGATTCCAGTGTGGAAAATACAAATTAGCATCGATTAGAAGGAAAAGGTCAGGTCAGAATAACACACAAACCAGACCCACCTGGCCTAAGCCAATTCTACTGGAGCTTTCCACATAGCAATATTTACTTCCTACAGAGTTGAATTTGGAAAAGTGAGAGTTGCACTTACTTGGAGGTTTGCTTTTTTCTTTATTGTACAGTCAGCACGATCACAGTTCAGTTTTACCCTTTGATTACTACAGTGTCCAGCACAGTCTCTCCCTTGAATGAGTTTTCCTTAGGTAATCACCTACCTCACTGCCTAGAAGGTTTTTTGCACAATATTTGTTTTGTTGACTAGATTTAGCATGTGCATGTGTTGCCTGCTGTGACAGAAAGGTTGTCCCTCATGTCTTTATTTGGAAAAAAAAAAAAAAGGCTTTTGGCAATCTATTTATATGTCTGACCTTAAGTGATTCCTAACATTGTGAGTTTATGAGACAAAGTCCAAGACTCTCCAAACTGTGCCTTTCACAGGTAGTTCCTCTGGTTTGAAAGTGTCTGCAGGCTCCACACAATTTCCCCTGCAACCAAGTCTCACTTTTATTAAAGCACTGTCTGCATCTGCCTTTCATTAGCCCCACCACTAAGTATAGATTTAGATTCTTCTTACACTTGCATTGTAGCAAATGAAAAGCAAATGGGTTCAAGGTAAGACTGAAGCAAGGCTGTACATAATTCTGCTGCATTCTTCTGAACCCCAGCTAGCTCTCTGGTGATGCACTGGCAGGAGTACTGGCTTTTCTGACCTTTCCATAATGCATTACCCACAGCTCAACACCTAGACATTCTTTCATGTGTTTTAAAGAAGTTTTTAGTCAATTTTCAATGTGAGAATACAACCAAGGCAATTATTTCTCTTAAAATAGTGAGCAGTGTGTGGTATCACACACACCATACATGGAATAAGCCACCATGGTCATCCAGTCCAATACCTCACAAGCACAGGGTCTGCAGATCCAGAAGATCTACAAGTCACCCATTCTACATACACCACAAGCCACAAACCCTCCCCAATGCTCTGTAACAGCTTGAAGTTATACAGCACAGCCTCTCAAAGACACAGACTGTTGTTTGCCACAGCTGGGCCACTGCAAGCTCTTATCGCATACCACAAGAGGATAGCAAAGAAATCTATGGCATTTTCTAAGCTATGACAGCCTAAGCACCAAACACCCTGAAGACCTCTGAATGAAAATGCACTAAGCAATACATCCTACCCCATTCCTCAGCCCTACTTTTGCACTCTGCTGGTATGACACATGCTCAGTATAGGACTCATACCTTGCACTTGATCATTCATGTACATAAATATAATCCCCAGGGAGCTTCCAAAAACTACTTTTCCATCTTCACAGTTGTGGTGTGTCTTCTTCCCTCTCCAGAGCCAGAGAAGAGAGGTGGCACCTCTCTTCCCAAGCACTTCCAAAGCCTGTCAGCAAGTCACCCGAGGCTCAGCAGCCTTGGACATGATCCAGAGGCTAAAGGCTTTTTGGTCTCTCTGATCACTGGAAAAAAACAAAAGCTCTGATCTGTGTTTGAGAGGAAGAAAGTTTTGGGTCTCAATTGTTTGAGCAGACACACCTTCTGGGATTTTTGCTGCTGAAATGCAGAGCTTTTTTTCCTTCTCTTGTCCTGCTGGTGACTTTTATTTCCATGAATAATTAGGTGTGAGTTGCCAGGAATATTCCTTCCCTTGTGCAAAACCACCTTCTGTAATTTCAGAAACAGCTGTGTGTGTTTAATATCACCATATCTGGATGCTTCTACCAGAGTCACTGTGCCCTGCTCTCTGTATCTATGCAGAAGAAATACAGAGTATTCTCACTTGCTTTTTTCCCCCTCTCAGAGCAAAACATCAAATGCAGTAACCAAAACATATGTGCTACACAGGACCCTATAGAAAATAGGTATGTTTTCAAAATGATGTTTGGTTTGAATATTGAGATTTAATCCAGTTTAGGTCTTCACTTACCCAAAACAGTTGCATCCACCTTAATTTAAAAAATGGAAGTAGCAGCTCTGCTAGGGACCAGAAAATTGATTCTATAAAGCTAGTTCCAAATGAAATGGTTCAGGAAAAATAATAATCTGAGAGCAGTACTCTTCTGGTAGCAGGTAGATGAGAGCTGTGCTTCACATAGAGGATAGGCTTGAACTATTGTCATCCAAACAGATCAGCAATGTGACATTTGTTTCTCACAGGAAAATCCTTTCCCTAGGGTACAGACAGGAAATCCAAAATGAGAGGAGGTAAATACTAAAGAACCACTGAGGAAAGGGGAGGAGAAAGAACAAAAAGCACAGTGTTCACTTGTTGTGTCCACTAAAGAAAGGCTCAGGAAAGAAAACTGCATGAGAAATAAGTGCTTATTTTGATATTAAATTAAGTACTGTGATTGCAGGATGAACCACTTCCGTGCTGCAAAGCTGTAGTTCAGATCACTGTGCAGCCCACTGAAGTCTTTATTTACTGTATTCTTTGTTTCCTTAAAAATAATTGAATTCCTCTGGGGGGGAAAAAAAAAACCAAATCAAAATTCACGTTATTTAACTAAAGCATGAGACAGACTCTAGGTTTGTTCACACTTGTTTTTCTGAGCGCTGCCCACTGTGAACCAGCAACTTTTGTGAAGCTCTTGACTCTTTTGAGTTAGAAATTTTGGTGCAAACTCAGTGATCCAGCAGTGGGTGAGGATTACAGCAGCACACGTGTTCTTAACTCGGGGACCTTGTGCTGACCATACTGTGTCTGGGCTCACAAAGCCTCTCATTCTGCTTCCCTCTGAGTTCAGGATGCTCTGTTTCAGATGTAATGAGGGCTGGAAGGGACAAGCTGGCCCACTGAGCCTTGCAGTCACTCCTTGAACCCTGATGGGAGCTTTATTTTGGACCAATGCTGTCGCATCAGCCTTCCCCAGAGCTCAGCACACAAACGCTGGGCAGCGATGTGTGGGTGAGGAGAGCTGAGCGCCAAAGCACAAGGTACAGAGCAAAGATAATTCACCTTGGAAGGAAGGGCAGTGCAAGGCTCTTCTGTGTGGTGCTGCTGAGATGCTCCGTGACAGGGAGCTGTGAAATGGGGGCTCTGAAAAGGACATTCTTCACTCTGGAATTGCTGACTTGAGGTTTTTGTCAGCTGGATCTTTGGGCTTCTTGCCAGCCCAGAAAAAGCTAACAAAGACCATTTCTGCTGTTGCATATCATCAGGGAAGAAGGAAAGGAAGAAGAAAATAAATGAGGGACTGTAGTACTTTTTTAAAAGAGAAACATTTTTTGCAGATAAGTAAAAATGGAAAGTTAGGACAGCTTTGAAACTGAAACGACAATCCCACTGTGGTAAAAACTTAGAAAAGATTAAGACTCTGATGGAATTGTTTGAATTGGATTTGTTAATCAAAGGCAAATTTATTTTCAAGTGTTATTTTTACTTACTCAACAATTTTTCACTCAGTTTCCTATGTTCTTTGGAGGGTTCATACTGTCTTCATACTGTCTAGTGTTTATCAGGATTGCATGATTTCTGTGCCTTCCAATAGAGAACTAGGATACTCATATATCCCTATTTTTCAAACTTGCATTTCAGTTTCTTAGCCATTTAAAAGCTGTGTAACTGAGATCAAGGATTTCATAATGCTCATAGCCCCTGGTCATGGCATATTAAACAAAAGCTGAGCTCTCAGATAACGTTTCCCAAACAAATTCCAGTACAGCTACATTTTGACATTCTCTTCCTGAGCTTTGACCAGATATAAGTGGCACCATTTCATTACCAAATTCTATCCAACTTCTATAAAAAAATAGAGAGGTGAAAACAACATTTTTTAATAGGGAACTATAACTGTTGCTGTCCTTTCTCTGTATAAACTGTTATCAAGACTTTGAAGTTCTGCCAGCTTGTTTCCATTACAAGGAAAACCTGATACCAGCTGGAATTTTTGGAGTACAGAGAGAGCAATGGCAATAGTCCTGCTGACTTAAAAACTATGCATAATGTCCTGGAGTTTAGGAACACAGACTAAAGAAACTGGAAACAATTTTCTTCTTAGAGGTCTCTGCCTTTTCAACACTCTAAGCAGCTTCATCTGTTAAAAGTTCTTTCTAATGTGATATCCACAGGAACTTTTCTCATTCTCTCGTTTTCCAGGCTTTCATTCCTCGTCTCTCCTGCCCATCAGTACTTGAGACTATCAAATGTTCCAGCCCTGTGCTTATCTGCCCCTCGAGAAGCCTCACTGCTCACACAGCATAACTTCTACTTCATGTTTTGGGTGTTAGCTTCTGGGATTTCTCAGGCATCGCTGCTCCTGAGAGTCTTCTAGTTTGCTTAATGCAAGCCTGGGACCGATGAAAAGGGTGATTAACACTTTCAGCCTAACAGCTGGCTGCAGCTAGGGACATAAAAACCAGCTGCCATGTCCTGTTGATTGCATGCATCAGCAGGCAGGTAAAGCTTTATAATCAGTATAATCTGTGGTAAGGGTCCTTCCTTGTATACACACACAAGCTATAGCACTGCTTCATCTGCAAAACAGCATTCAGTTTCAGCATGTGTACTGTATTAAGCTTTCTTTGCATCAATGTAAAAGAAATCTTCTGCAATATGTCGTGATTTGAGCCATATGGCATGTAAGAAACA